TTATAGTTGTATGCTAAATTTAGCCTTTTCAGCTAATTCCACATTCATGGAGCCCATTTCAGCTCATTCTGCTTCCTTCTAGTAGTTTAAGTTTCTTTCTGCCTTTTTAGCTACTTTCAGCTATTTTTTTTTGTTAGTTTCAGCTTTTTGTTCTTTAGATAATTTCCTTTTTTTCTCTCTCTCATTTCGGCTTATTTAAACCAAATTCAGTAAATATGTTATTTCTGCTTTCTTCTGCCAATTTGGGCTTTTTCATCCATTTCAGCTACATTTCAGCATGTTTTAGCTAATTTCAGCTGTTTTTCAGCAAGTTCTTCAGCAATAAACATTCACACTGCATTTTCGCAGGACATACCATTTCTTTAAACACTGCCATTTTTAAATGTTTTAATAATTCACAATTTCTTTGTACTATTTTTCTATTAGGAAAGATAATTAAATTACGTCTAAAGCAACAATTTAATTGATTTTATGTATGTATACTGTAATTAGAAGTATTTCTCTTCTTTTTAATGATCATGTAGTTGATTTTGCTATAAACTGCTGTTTAAGCTGTGGATTTATGTATTGATGTGTGCGATTTTAAAAATGCATGTATTCCCCACAAAGAACCAACAATCTGCAACATGAATTATGAGGTCAAGTAATCTAAAAAAATCTGCTCTTTCAAATGTATTACTGGGTGGTATTAGGATGGAAATAAGCTAAAATACATAAAAACACGTAGAAAATTTTTCTGCTTTTGAAGCCCAGACACTGATAATCTTTTAAATTCCTAAATCCTAAACGTAACATTATTTCCTCACCTTTGGGATGACCTGTGTGAGAGCACAACTGGCCTTGTCACAGATCCACACTTTGTCTTTGGGTCCGAGTGCGGCACAAATCGCCTGCAGCTCAGTGTAGACCGACTCGTACGGGAAGGTCTGGATACTCAGCTCAGGCTCGCTGGGGGAGTCCAGCTGGAGATGGTCCCTCACTGCAGGGTCAGAAAGACGCTTAAGGTCCACAAACAGCCTGCAGAGAGGGATGGTGGGAGTAGGAAGCAATTGTTTCTTAAAACAGAACAATGTCTTGCTGTTTTTGTTGTTATAAAAAAAAAAAAAAACAGGAGAAACCAGAAGAATAGCTGCTCTCTCATAAATTTGTTCATACTGAGGAACACAAAACTGAAAAGGTGACATGTGGAGACTGCTGTGTCAAAGAATTTATTTTAAAGTTTTGAATAACAACATCAGAAGATCAGATTTTAT